AGTCGATTGTTATAGCAAAACATACGTTTGCTTCATCGACAAAAAGGCCTGGCCTTCCTTGAAAATTCACATTGGCCTAGTGACCCAAAAGGCGCTCGTGGTAGGGTAGGGCGCCATGAAAAAATTTTAATTGAAAAAGGGCGCCGCGACTATGAAAAGTTTGGGAACCACTGGCCTAGACGATTTCGCATACCAAATATGCTTGGACAGTACCAAATCAAATTCTGGTTTACACATGTAACCTCATCTCCTGCATTTTCGTGAATTAACTTCTTCCATCTACAAGGATGCATGTTAAGCCTGAGGCCATCAGCCATATTATGGCATTTCTCAATAAGAGTAGGTTATCAGCCGGCCATCCTCTTTCTTGGTTCACTATATTAGTGTGTTTTTTAAAATAATGCTTTATCTCTATAACTATATCATGCATATGTCAGATGTAAGTACAGGATGGATTCCTCTGGATCGCAGGACGGTTTCACGCAATCCAAGAAAATCCTTATTCAATTTCCCCAAGGGGGAAAATCACAAATCCTTTCCAAACAACTTTTCCTTCAAAATGAAAAGTAGAATCATACAAAATCATAAAATATAGATAGATAGATAGATAAAACTATATAGTTATGTATACGTTGAAAGGGTTTTGATCTTTCCGTGGCTAAAAACGGTCCTCTTCTGATTTCAAATGACTTGCCCATCACAGCCAATGTGGTCGCTGCGTCCATGCTTTTGAAGATCTTTCTGCCAACGTCGTCAATATTACTATTATTACTACAGTCGATGCTAAAAGTAATTATGCTACTGTTGTTGCGGCTGTTGCTGCTCGCGAATCGCGCCAATATTGGATGTTGGAGGCCAGACTTGATAGGTCAGATGGGCATTTAAAGGGTGAGGGTGAGGGTGAGGCTAGTGGGATGGAGATGGTGTGTCTGCCACGAGCTGCAGTTGTCACGAGGTGAACAAACAGAGAGGAGAGCAACAACGGCCTATCTTCTCTGGCCAGAGTTGTACAAATAGCCGGGAGTTTAATTAAGGAATATGTCAGCCTTTTCACAGAGTTGGGTTAAGATAAATGACACCACCTATCGTGACCTGGCATCTCACACCTGTTAAGGCAAACCAAATTTCTAATTACATTCACATAGGCACGTTGTTTTTTATAATTGCTGGAATGGAGAAAATGTACTGGCTGTAGCATTGGACTTCTGTCCCCACTCTCTTTTGTCAGAACCCCCATCCCCCCAACCCCCTCGGACCCTCCCCCAGAGACATTCCGCCTCTTCCTTTCTTCAGTCCCCTCTTTAATTTCCTCCCGCACTTCTTTGTGTATTTATGCAATATGCTTTGTGTAAGTGCGTGTTTCTATGAGAGCCTGGCACATGGATGTCATAGGCTCAGGCAGGCAGTGAGATAAGACTGGGGCTGGCAGAAAAATGAGGTTAAGTTAGGATAAAATTAAGTGATAAATTGTCTATTAATATTTTTCCATCTTCATAGCTTGTAAACAAGATTCGCCTATCGGTGTGGCAATTGATAATGCATGATTTGGAGATGGGCTAACGCTTGAGTTTAGACTAAACTGTGAGAAAGACAAAAAAATATCGGAACTCAAGCTTACTAGGCGGCAAGTAGTATGTAATTGTTGATGAAAATGTCAAATGTGAGAGTCAAATCAAGGGCTCTAAATCCAATACCATTCTAATCTACACACAACCCATTTGAAAAGCACAATCTATTTGGACATTTAACTGTTTTGCAAAAATTCTTGGTAATCAGATTTTGTAATTTGTACATTCGAGCAGTATCTCTCTCGTTAGGGAAAGTACCAATATATTAATCACGAATATGGAGCTGGCGTGAAGATTTTTTCAATGTATGACTTTTACATTCGAAGAATTAGTAACCTCTTGAAGCATTTCAAATGCAATGCCTCTTCTTCATGTGCTATCGTAATTTAGTAACTTCATGAGACTAAAATTTTATAATTCTTGCTTATCTCAGTACATCATTATTACTTGGGTTTGTTTATCCTTCTTTTTTTCTGGAAACATAATCCTCCTTGTGCAACTATTTTTAATACTTTCACATATGTTGCATTTTTATTACAAGGAATCAAGCCAGTCAGAACCTTTTGCAAACTCAAGTGCGTCATTTTGGCTTTTCGTGCTACAGAGTTTAAGAATGTAATAGTCTCTTAACGAATGGGCTCCCATATAAACGATAATTTGTGTAAAAGCCCTAATTTCTCATGTTTGTAAAGCTTTACCTTTATTTGTATCAGACGTAATTTAATAAAAGCACCCCATATGAAAGTATGCCTCCCTTCCTTGATTACTCTTTTGCAAGAAGCTGGCTCTGTCTTTTCGTGAATATAGCATACAGAGCAAGACAAAGTGTTTTTCACTACCAGAGAAAGAAAGTTAAGGACAGCTTAGTAAATAGCTATTACTGTACTGCGATCTTTTATCACTTGCCGCCAAGATAACATGTTTGAATATGCATGCTAATAATCATTTTACACAACGTCTCAAAGTCGAATGGTAAGATTATCAGGCTCAATCCACTCCATGAATCTCTGAGGCGGGCTGTATGCTAATTAACCTCTATGGTCACAGTAATTCCATAGTAATTCCTTTACTGTATGTGACCTTCATTGCAAGCTTTTTTAAAAATATAGACAACCAATTAAGTCTAAAGAGTGACGAAACCTTGCAAAAGAGTGCGCCAATCAGTACTAAATCCGGTAAATTATCTTAGCAACCTAAGTATATGAATTTTTCAAAAATGAGATGGCCATAGACAGAAAGGAAAAAAACATAATATTAGCCGCTGGATAGTCGAGCCCATCTGCTTGTAGCTTGAAAATTTAATATAGTAA